TTTCTTTTCTCTTAATCCGTTTGGCCTATATCAAGTTGGGCGTTCTCTCCAGATTGTGAATGCATCATTTCGACTTGGGGAAAAGTATCAAAAAAGTCATAAACCAATTGCATTAGTACCAATTCAGTCATAAACCTTTTAATTGGACCAATTTAGTCATAAGCATTTTCGCATGGGTACCAATTTAGTCCATCTGGCCAATTTAGGCCAGAAATCGCTGACGTGGATGCCGGTGGTCCTACGTGGCACGCTGATGCTGACGTGAACAAAATTTATAATTCTTTTAATAATTTTTTCAGATTTTTTAAATATTTTTTTTCTTTTTTTGTACACTATTGGCCGGCGAGGTCGCTAGTCAACCATCACCGGCCACATGCTGGTCTAGGCAAGGGCCCCCGTGCCCTTGCCGGCCACGGACGAGGGAAAAAAGAAAAAGAAATATAAAAAAATATCTGAAAAAATTATTTAAAAATTACAAATTTTGTCCATGTTAGCGTCGGCGTGCCACGTAGGACCGTCGGCGTCCACTTCAATGATTTTCGGCCTAAATTGGCAGGATTGACTGAATTGGTACCAATACGAAAAGGTTTAGGACTAAATTGATCTAATTAAAATGTTTAAAATTGAATTGGTATCAATGTAATTGGTTTTTTGGTACTTTTTTCTTTCGACTATGACCGAGCATATATGCACGAAAAGATTCATTATCTCCTATTCACTTGTGATCAGCTCGCCATTCATTTTTAGCTCTAATTTAGACGTACTTATATATTAATCTCATCCACTACAAGAAATTCGCAACGAAAACATTTGGACATACTTGGTGAGAACAATACATTTGGCTCCTATTCCCCGCAGGACAAACTTCGATTGCTCCATCATGAAACCCTAATCTACAAAGTACGAACTTCAGTTGCGGCTCGCTACTTGGAGCGTAAGATTCAAGTGGGTTCTATCCGGACACAAGCCGAATATTATCACTTCATAGGTCACTGTTGAGCTCCAAATGATCTACTCTAATCATGAATGTCCCCTTTTTGTGCCACAATCATGAATATTCCATTGAATCACTCAAATATGCAGTAAACCCTAATTCACCTTTCTCATGATGGGCCAAAGATGAGCAGCTTCTAGACCAGTCTTCATTAGTGGCCGGTGGCTTTTGCCTTTATACTTAGGTGGTGAACCTCCATATCCGTCAACATTTACACTACATTATTTTGTCCATCTCAATATACCTTTCATACACACAACCCATAAACCCTGAATCACTCGTCCACGAATGCATCAAGTCCTAAATCTTTGCACAAAATTCCAATGTAGTCCAATTGCTGCCGGCAATTGCTGGCATGGCGTCCAGTCATCGTCGACATCCTATGTAGCACGCTAAAATAGACAACTTGTGGATCGCACGTCATCGATTTCCGGCAATAATAAGTTGAAGAACTGTATTGGAATTTCACACAAATATTTAGAACCACATTAGCTAAATTGGAAAGTTTTAAGACTGAATTGGTATCGTAAAATAGATTTAGGACGGTAATTTTATCCCACCCAAAAAAAGACAGTAAATTCATTGCTTAATTTCAATATTACGACCTCTAGCCTAATAAAGGGCTTAGGCTTAGGTCAAATAATAGAATTCCATGAATTTGCAAAAAAATCCTGAAATCATGTATAAGCTATACATAATATGGCAAGTCCATAAACAATTTTTGGGCTATATGATGTATAGGTATTGCTTTAAGGGTGTGTTTGTTTGAATGAAAGAATTTTTCGCGAATTAGTGTTTTCGATTTTCACACATTTGGTTTACTGAAAATGATCTATCAACGGAAAATCATTTGTGGTCAAAGAAAATATGCATACCTAAAGTTAGGAAATTTTTTTCCCTCTTTTTCTTGAAAAATATTTTCCTTTATCATGAAGTTTTCCCCGAAATACTAAGTTTCAATGACATGTTTGTCATTAACAGGCAAACATTGTAAGTAATTGCCAATTACATATAATTTTTTTTTGTTAAAAGTAAATATTTCATTCATATCTCAATATCTCAAGATGATACACGAGAGGTTCAAAACAAATCAAATTCCAAACAGCAAAGTAGAATAATAAATCACAAACTGTTTTAATAAGCACACTCTTATCCCATAAGAATTGATTTGTTTCAGCATCAAAGCAGAACGAACGGCGGCCAATCACCGAATCTTACATCATTATAAGTGACGAACACGCATCGTAATCTCCTCTCCTATAACTACAGCTTGTCCAGTGGGCAGTGCACTCTTAGTTTCAGCGTTCTCAACACCATCACCATACAAAGACACCAAAAATACTCCCAAATCTAGATTTAGATATGGAGAGATTAAACGAGCATATAAAAGTGCAGTATGAAGTCAGTGTATTCCTCATCGATCTTGTCAGACTTCTTGGTTTGGAGAATCTAAAGCAGCAGGTTATCCCTAACGATGGAAGCGAGAGATATACCCAATGAGCAGAGAAGAGCATCAATTACGAGTAAAGAAAAAAATTAGATAATAAAATAAAATACTCCTAGATTAGATCAAGAGAGAAAATTTCAATTCAAATTGAGAAGATGGAGCCTCTCTCGACCGAGAGTGATTTCTCCGTCGAGGGAGCTTTGAATATGGAAGGGAACTGTCTTAGTAGTAGAGGAGCCGGAAAAGAGAGAGAGAGGGAGCATTCAAGAAATATGTGTTGCTACCATCTGTCTTTGGTGTTCTAAACTGGTAACATGTATTGACTACATGGCATAAATTATAAATTGATATTTATTGATTATATTTAGCTAATTAATTTAATTTAATGAGGATCTAATTTATTAAAAACAGTACAATGTCCAAGGCGTGATAGTTGGAAGGTCATCACTACAAAGTTTATTACATAAATTTAGTTGTCAAAGATTGTATATTTTCTGGATTAATTCCCAAAAAAAGCACTAACTTTACTTTGACTGACGATTTTGGCCCAAACTTTTTTTGTCTGACTAAAAAGCACAAATTTTTACTCTAGTCTCAAATCTGACCTCCGTGATATGAAATTTTCAATTTGTTCAAGTCAAATTTGGAATTTAAGTAAAACTTGGTGATTTTTTATGAAACAAAAAAAATTCGGATCAGAATTATCACTCAAGGAAAAGTTAGTGCTTTCTTTTAGAATTAGGCCTATATTTTCTCTATAAGTGATAAATTAGGAACAAGTCCTAAATATCAATGAAATTGACTCTGACATGAAGGACAAAAGTATGGTGAATATAGAAGCCCAAGACACGCCAAACTAGGGGGTAAAAAAATATGGATAATTACTTAAGTTTCTATCGAAACAATATATGTGAAAAATTTATGCATCGCATGGGCACGATACTAATTTAGTCATAACATTTTCGATTTTCCTTCAGTTGATTGGGGAATCATTTTAGAATTTTTTAAGGTGGACACCAAAATTTAAGAGAAATAGACGAAATTGAAATCGTGCTGTAAATTAGTTTGCTTCATTTTAATTTTACTCATTCTAGCATCTTAAATGTCCATGCCGACGAGGATTTATGTATTAACGAAAATAAATTACCCTCATCAACTTCTATTGGAAAAACAAAAATGTGGGCGAGGGTAAAGCATGATATATTTCCTCTAAATTCTATGTTTGTAGTTTCTTTTTTCAGTCAAAATGTCTTAAAATCGAATTTCAATGCGGTTGAGAAATCCGCCCTTAAATTAGGAAGTGGTCTAGTGGATACAAGTAAGATGATATTTTTCTTCCACGGCAAATACTCTCTCGATCAATTTGAACATTCACCACAGGGTAGATCGCGGAATGTGATATGAAAACAGAGTTATTTCTAGTCATTTGAACGATGGATACCGAATTCGAAAGTTGACTTTGTATGTATTTGCATAGAGAGACGGATGGAAACATAGGTATAAATATACAGACAATTCCTACTAGGGTTGACGGATGAATGAGTGGCTTACATTTGAGATAACACCCATGAATGAATGTGCAAACTACAAAGGTTGGACCTTGTCTATGTAAAGCTGGTGGGACGGAGCTGTCCGGCATTGACCCGCTCTCTGTCTGAGTGCGAAGAAATCCTGCTCCAAACCCATCAGATAGATGTCTCAGTCAAGATGACAACTATTCCACAGCATAATTATTGTGGTTGCAAAGTAAAATACATGGAATACTTGATAAACTAAGCTTCTGATTTCGTCACAGGACGCCACGAGGAAGGAATTGGCATTATTGAAAGCTATCCCGGAAATAGATATGATGAACTGCGAATCCTCGTCAGTGAAGAAATAATATCTTGGGGTCATGTCAAGAATGAGATTTATGCGGGTAGAAGAAAGACCATTGGAGGCTACCCAATGTGATAAGATGCCCAATTATTTAAAGCTGCGTGGAAAAAGATGGAGCTTTCGAGGTCCCATTTTTCTGATGCTCTGGTTGTGGAGAGAGAGAGAGAGAGACAGGGTCTGTTGTGTTTTCCAACACACAAAAAACATAGAAAAGCAGACGATAAGAACCAACCAACCCATTATTAAAGGTAAATAATAAAAGCTTACATGTCTTCTCCTTCCTTTTTTTGTCCGCTCTCTCTTTTTCCTCTGTTTGATTAGATGGTCTGAAATTCTGGGGTTTCATTTTCTTGTCATGGATCTCTAGCATTCTCTAGGTTCGAGGAATCGATCTCTCTTGCCCATCTTCCCGAGCATTCATCTTTCTGGATGGAGGTATGTGGATTTATTCATTTCAATTACCGAACCATCGAGTTTTTCTTGATTTTCTTTCGTTTTTTTTCTTTGGCTGTGCTCTTGATTGACAATCTTCGCGTATTGTTTTCATCTACCTGTGGCCATTTCACATCTGGGTTTTCTGTCTCTCATTTGCCCTTCTTGTATTTTGGCTGAATTCTGATATTTTTATTTGTGGAGTTTCAGTCCAAAGGGTATTAGGGTATTAGGGTTCACGTTTGGGAGGAAAAAAAGAAACAATGATGATATATTGTTGCTTTGGTGAAATTGAAATGAGCTATATTTCTGAAATGTTGTCGAGCATTTATTAAGTGTGATAAGCTGGAATCGCACTGTATGTTGTGATAACATCTGGGAGGGATTTGCTGATAACTAGCTGGAAACTGTGAAGGGAGAGGGAGATCATTCATCAGGAAAACTCGTAGTTCGAAGAATATCGCAAGAAGAAAATACAGTACTTATATTGTATAGAGAGTCTAGGCAAGTGTCTTGGACTAGTGAATGGAGGAAGAAGACTTGTAACTTTGAATTTTGTTAAAAGGTAGCTATGGTTTTTATGAAAAGAAGTTATATGGGATACAGAAGATCCAAGATCATCCGCCACCGAAGGAATTGCATATGAATTCTTAATTTTTAGTCTGACATATGAGATGTGCACAGGTTCTGGACGAGGAGGCCAAGAGAGCTGGAGATCATATGACATCAGCAGCAGCTTTTGTGGAAGGAGGAATACAAGAGGCTAATGATGATGCTTGCAGCATATGCCTGGAGGAGTTCTGCGACAGCGATCCTTCAACGGTAATACACACACACACAAATTATTCTATCTCCTAATGATGATGTTGTTGCATTAGGCATAATCAGCCTGAAGATAATAATGAATATGTTTTTCGCTACTTGTGGTGCTTCTTGTTATGCCGAGGATAAATCTCTTTCTTCTTTGATTTTGAGCTTTATCGCATATTAATAATGAAAAGGCAAATGTGCAACATGTGCAGCATTGTAAGCATAAGTAAGGTTTGAGCTTGATGTATTTCCCACCTAATATTTTGCTTGTTAAGTTGGATATGTGGTGCCTTCTGTTGAATTACTCTGGTTATATCTCATTATAATATGTTCTCTATGTTTTCCCCTATCCTCAGGTCACTTGTTGCAAGCATGAATTTCACCTTCAGTGCATTCTTGAATGGTATGCTTGTCTTTTGTTAGTTTCTTTAAAACCCCTTGCCACCACACCTCCCTCCCCCCTCCCTCCCTCCCTCCCCCACACCCTCTCTCTCTCTCTCTCTCTCTCTCTCTCTCTCTCTCTCAGACAAGCGTGCATATGCATACAAGCATATAGATTCATATTCCCAATAGCATTTGATATGCCTGTTTCCATCGATATATCTTCACTTTGTTCCGTTTGCTTCTAATCCATGAATCATGTTAATGAATGGTGGGGCTGAGCTTGATGTAATGGTGAGGGAGTCACAAGGTGAAACCATAGTGGCTGGCCCCAAAAGTTAAGTTAACCACTGAAAGAAGAAATTGAAAGAGGATTTTGAAGGAGGTTTAAGAAATGGGAAACTAAGTCCTAACTAAGTCTATGCACTGAAAGAGTAAGGCTACATAGATATGACGGTACCTAAATATACAATAAGGAAATTGTTTTTGCAGTTGCCCTTTTCCCTAATGAATGATATGGTTTTATGGGATGGATTTCTTGGGGACAAAGCTATCCAATGAACAATAACATTGACGTTTTTCAGTGGGTCTCCACACCTCAGCTTGCCTGACCAACAATAACATAGATGTTATTCAGTATAGTTTCGCATGCTTGACATCTTAAGGATACTGACCTTATTGTAGCATATCGTCTTCATTTGTCAAAGTCATGAATGGAATCTTGTTTCGCATTGGTTTGCAAGCCACGCCTTCAGAAGTTTGGGAAAAACTTCATCACCTCACTTTTTATCTAGCACTCATTTTTGTCCCTCTGGTTTAGCTTTCTATTGTACATTATGTTCACTTTAAACACGGGTAATAAGAATCTGTTTGAGATCATTGTTAGAAATGAAAGCATTTATTGACTCTTAATCTTCGCCTTTAGGTGTCAGAGAAGCTCTCAGTGTCCCATGTGCTGGCAGCCAATCAGCCTGAAGGATCCTTCCAGGTTTCTACCTCTGGTTTGTTCTAATACGTGTTCCTGACATTCTTATTAGTGGATCTCTGAGTAACTTGAGGTGCATGTGTCGGCAGTCAGGAGCTGCTGGAGGCAGTGGAGCGAGAGAGGAACATTAGGCTCGCTCCACGAAATCCAACAATATTTCATCATCCAGCCCTTGGTGATTTTGAGCTGCAGCATGTCCGTTGTTCTCCCTCCAATAACTTTTCCCATATTTCTGTTGATAAGATGGAACTTGTGTAATCTTTTTCAAATTCTAATGCAGTTACCTGTTGGTGCAAATGATGCTGAACTTGAAGAGCGCATAATCCAACACTTGGCAGCTGCTGCTGCAATGGGAAGGGCCCACCACCTCAGCAGACGGGAAGGCCATAGGGGACGACCATCTGGTCACGGTCGTCCTCATTTCTTGGTCTTCTCAACTCATCCTAATGGTGCTCATTCTGGTCCTGTCTCTAGTTCATTGGTACAGGTAGAAGGGGAAAGTCAACCAGCGGCAGTAGCTGCTGCTCGTCCATCAGTACCCATCGAATCCACTGGTAATGATTCACCTCGGCAGATTTTGATTCAAACCAATCAAGTTTCTTCTTCTGCCTCCGGGTCTCCTGTTACTCCCACAAACGGACCAGGGATATCCCTTTACAGGTCGGTGTAAATTATTAATCGACCTTATCTTTCACTGCAATTAAGCCATTGAAGACAATCAAACCATGATTATGATCAATACATCATCATTAGACTGGATGATTTGTTTGCAGGAGCTCTGCTGGTCACCCTTCTTCTCCAACTCAAGATAGGGCAGGCACATCAGAATTTCAAACTCTTTCAGAATCTCTAAAATCTAAATGGAATGCAGTCTCAATGAGGTACCTTATTAAATATCTCGTAAGGGAAAAAAGATGACCTTGTTTTGTAACAATTTGATGTAATTTATTTTCAATGTTGTTATATGCCAGGTATAAAGAGTCCCTTTCAAAAAGCACCAAGGGTTGGAGGGAGCGGTTTTTTCCCCGTCACACTTCTATGGCTGATCATAACACTGAAGTTAGAAGGGAAGTGATTGCAGGAATGAACAATGTGCCTCACATGATGGGAAACCTTGAAATTAGGGACAATAGTGTTGGTAATATCGCTACTGAATCATCAAATCAGTCTGCTAATTATTCAGCTGATGAGGCTGCCAACCAGAGCAGTGCCGAGAACCAAGAAGAAACTCCATCAAATGAAGTCAATTCATCTGCTGCCGGTACTGCTGGTTCTGTGTCCATCTAGTTTGTCAATCCATCAGGAGTTGCATCATCCTCGGCATGTCATATTTGTAGGTGAGTCTTTATCTTGAAGCAAAAATCTTTAAGACCTGTTATGCTACTGAGATGTCATGAAGCATTTTTTCCATTACAGTTGTTAGCCAGTTAGTAGTCCTCAATTGTCTCAGTCACTTGCAAATCTCACCTATATATGCGGATATTCGTTGTGATAACCTTCTCTCAAGGGATGTATTCTTGACAAAATGGCCCAGAATTTTTTCTTTATAGCCATTAAAAGTTTAGCCGAGTAGGTTTTATCCCTCAAAATTATGTGACATGGCGCTTCACTACAAATTGGTCAAGATAGGCAGAGAAGTGGGTACTTTTATTTTTTGGAGGGTATTGTGATCAATAATGGATGGAAGATGCTCTAAGTGTCCTCCTGGTTGAAGTATCAGTGACTGAACCGATGTTTTCACTGTCTGGTTAACATGGCAATATGAGCTTTTGCCTGATGGTTGCTCTGCTATCTGGAACTTATCAAACTACTGATATTAACGGTGATTACACCTTTCTAGTCAAAGCGGTCATAGCTGTGTAATGAGGACTTGGATGGTAACCGTTTCAGGTCAGGTTGTAAGGCTTGTATATATTGTCCAGGCCATGACTCATGGTTGTTTTTAGCTATGATAATGGTAAGCTATGGTGACAATGAGAGTGGGATGTTGTTGGCATCTAGTTCAGTAGTATTGTGTTGTTTCACAATGGCTTAGATCCTCTTGATATCTTCTCAAATAGAATACTTCTTACACTTTGCTTAAGCTTGTCCAACTTAATTAAAAGCAATTTAATGATTTCATTAGTAAGAACGTCAACTCAACCTAACAGTCCTAATAATCAGATAAAAGGTGCAACTTGTCCATGTCAACATATTCCCCTAATAATTTGTAATGAAGCGGTCCTTTAAATGACCCAAATAGTCAGACTCACTTTTAACAGTTGCAGAACTGGTTGGTCTAGAGAATTTCCATATTGTAAGATTATTTAGACCGTTCATGTTACTGCTGTCAAATTTAGCTTTTCTTTTGTTAGGAAAATAGTATTAAAATCAGAAAAAAAAAAAAGGAGCTTTCTTCTCAGATGACCACTAATTTAAAAATGTGTAGAAGTAACTGCTACATAGAGAAGACTGAGGGCCCGTTTGGTTCGGCTTTGGGGGAATGCATTTGGGGGAATGCAAATACCTTTGGGCTAAAGGGGTTTTCCGAAATGCAAATAGCGTTTGGTAAGTGTTTTATAAAATCAACTTGGGCTAAAGGACTTTTGCTATTTTTTTTTTTTTTTTAAAAAAACTCCGGTGGAGCTACACGGCCGGCCACCGCCTCCGGCCAGATGCCTGGGGGTCGCGCGACCCCGGCGACCACCGCCTGGGGTCGCCGGACCTCGGGCGTCGCCTGGGTCGCGACCCCCGGGCGGTGGTCGCCGGAGTCGGGCTAGCCCTCAGGCGGCGGCCGCCGGCCGCCGGACGTCGGTTTGGGGAAGATGAACAGTGTTGATGAATAGTGCAAGTTGCATTCCGAAAATGCAACTTCCCAAAGCACCTTCAGAGGTGCATTGGCCAAAGGTCCCTTGGCCAGCATTCCAAATGCAATTGCATTTCCCCAAAGTGAGTAAAAAAAATTGCCAAACGCCATTTGCATTTGGCTAAGGGACTTTAGAGGCCAAATGAGCATTGGGAATGCTGAACCAAACGGGGCCTGAGTTAGGCTTATCATCTCAGCCATCAGTTTATGTTAATTTTTTTGGAATGCACTTGGTCCATCAATTATGTCAAAATACCCGACTAATGATACTACCACTACTAAAGAACTTGTCTAGAGAACATGTGGACTTTATTATTGCTCGAATAATAGATTAAGTAAAAGACGTTACTTATCAAAATTATAATTTACAAAAGAGCAAAATGATAGGAATCGTAGAATATAGAAAAGGAAACATAATTGATATTTAAATAGACATTGCTTAAAGTTGGAGCAGGGTTGATCGATAAAAAAGTGATAGGTAATGCAATAGATGAAGATGGAAACCCTATAGTGTAGTTGGAAGAATAAATGAGACAGGGATGCCATCGCTGAATGAAGAGTTGTGCAGTGATGATGTAAAGGGAATTATTAAGTCAAATCATAGAAAACTACATTGTTGAGGCAAAAATTGTTAGAGGAAAGTGGTTAAATGGCAGTACAGATTTGTTAGTTGGACTGATTAGTTCCATATTGGTATTTTGCCGCGTATATAATAAAAATGGTTGTTCGACACGGTATTAGAGCTTCGAATCAGCCTCTCGACACTCCCTGTCATTTTTCTCTGGTACTCCTCTCTGTCCTCCCATTGTTGTTTGATGTGGTCATATGTTTTCTCATGTAAGATTTGACTAACGCGTGAGGCAGGTAGTATTCATATAAATGCTTTATATACATGGAGATACATATTTGATAGTTTGAGCTTTTTTAAAAAAAAACTGTAATACAACTATGCTATATGAATAGTGTATCCTAATTGGACATAAAAAAGATTGATCCCACACCCACACCGTGCAGAAACATTATAATAGATTGATCTATTGAAGATTTTTATTGCTAATCGCATGACCTTCTAATCTTGGCAAGTCCTTGGAATTGCTTAATATTGTCCTGTGTACTGCTTCGTCTTGCAAAGAAAAGTGAGGTGCTATACACATGCAGCATCTAAAGAGACAGATTATAGAATTAGGAGAAGCGTGTCATTTCTCACGAACTTTTGCTCTTAACCAATTTGCACTAGTAAATAGCAAATACTTTCTGATATTAATGATGATTAATCAAAACTCTCATTCGCCTCAACCCAAATCCCCTTTTGCACCAATATAGAGGATTAAATCTTCATCTAGTTGATATAGGTATGCTCAAATGGCAAAGGAAAGGCATACCCAATGATTGGAATGGAAGTCATCCTTCCTCTGGAATTCAATTTCTCAATCTGATTTGAAGATATTCTAAGGGAATAAGTACGTAGTTTGAGGAGTCGATCTGGTTAAAAGGTTTCTTGCCATTACTACGTTTTATTGCTTACTAAACTACTGTCCAGCAGTTCAAAAAGCTGACCAGGATGCTGGCCACCAATACGACAACACAAAGGAGCAGATTTTTTCTCTCCATAATTTTTGTTGGCTGTATGAGCATCTAAAACCTCTATGATGGTTGCCTTTGGATTGATTTTGATTAGTTAACATTAGCTTCTTGGTCATATTGTACTGTTGTAGCATGGCTTTTGAAGTCTACCAAAGTCTCAAACAAACTGCTGTTATTTTGTTATATAGAATTGGACTGAATCGATTTATCGATTTGCATAACCTTCTTCAAAAAAATAGTTCCAACCGAATTGCTTTCAAATTTCAGGATGAGTATATACTCCCAGATATGACATGCCGAGGACCAGATGCTTTGGGTAAGAAGTTGCACGAGGTCCTTGCCATCTTTAAGGGATAAGAGAGAGAAAGAGTATAATGTGGACTGGCACTCATAATGGGTACATCTTGTAAATCTTGTTTATGTGCATGAGACTCAGAAGATTATATGCCTATTATGCCGCCATTTTGGAGGGTAATCTCACATTTATATATGGAATACACAAATAGTTGAATATGCATATCTATCTCCCCTGTTCCGGATTTGTTCTTAATCTTTCAATCAGGATCTAGCAAATCCTGGCTTCTCTTTCCAGCCCCTCCTTAGATTACCTTTCTCCAGTTCAGCATGTTTTGTGAAGGGTTTTGGTTGAAAATTTTTTGGGTGCTGGGGTCGTGAAGAGGTGATTTATGGTGATGGGTGGACGGGGTTTTTTTGTCAGACCTGGTCTAGGCATCTGGCAGGTCAGATTCACATACTTTAGATTCACTCGTGGATAGTATTTCTGTTGTGTCACTGTCACCGTGACCTGATTGCTCTAAATATGCGCCTCTAGTGACGAGGTGATTTACAACGATTACTAGTCCGTCCTTGAAGCGCCTCTTTGCCGCATGCAAACACCTTTGCTTATCGTGCTGCTGCATCTTTCATGTTGCAAATGCACGCGTGCTGATCACAAATAGTAACACAACTCTATTAGAACCATCACCAAGAATGAAAAAGAAGGTGATCAGTGAGGCGAAACTAATCTAGTTATGTAAGGCATTTGCTAAACCGAACTTGAAACAGTGGCAAGATGTTCCCTTATTTTAGAATCTGGAAATACACTTTTGGATAGACCGTTGAGCGGATTTGCCGACATTCTTGCATTAATGGACCAACTCTTGTGTGCACTGTAGATACGAGAACATTCAGACATTCCCCGTCGACACCGTTGAGAAGACCAACGAGAAATTATTGCACACAAACTTTCAGGATAAAGGCACGTCATGGCCGAGGGTCGCTTGATGGACTGAATATCCAAGCCAAGCTGGGCGTGGTACGATCCGATACGAGTATTTGATTCGCCGAACTGTACTTAGGAACAACTACAGAAAGAAGGCTGGCAAAGTTCTCTACTCACAAAGTGCCGCACAGACTATTCCGCGTCTAAGAATCTATCGGACATATAGGATATGCTAGTGTTCTAGGATCGACATAGGATGTAACGAGATTCGATACATCTGAATCTCAACAAGGAAAAAATTCCGAACATTGAGTAATAGCTGAACGTGATAACAAAAGTGTCGAGTCTGATCGGCATATCTAGAAAAAAAGGTCTCTTCAAAGCACCGGCATTGAATAACCCGAAGAAAACTTTCATACTCAAGATCACTACTTAAAGAGACGAAGGACCCTCTCAAGGCCTTTGCGCTGAATAACGCCATTGACGGACGGATTCAGAGAATTTAGGAGAAAGGTAACACAGCAGTGTCAACCAGTTTAAGGCATTGCTCAGTTTGCCAGTAAGTAAAGAGACTCGATAGAAAACCCCAACTGACCGAGTTGACAGCCCAGGTAATTTCAGCCTTTATAACAACACCCTGTTGAAACGGTACTAGTTGCACATTGTCACGAATTCAGTAATTCTTATTTCCTTGCAAGAATGAAATCTGATTCATACAGACAAAATCAGGGGAAGAACTCTTCAACCTGAGTGCCAAAATCCTGGAGATAGATGTATACATTATGTTATAGATTTCTCACATTATAACGGTGAACCATCAGAATCACAAGGAGAAAAAGAGCCTTTCCTGCATCAGACTCTTTCACAATCTCAGGAGCAAGAAACTACCTTTTCTGCTTCTGTTTCCTACTTTGATCTCACAACGTTCTTTTCCTTTTATCTTTTTATCTACCGCTAGATGATATATCGCTCACTGTAGAATTGAACGAAACTTCATCCTTGATCATTCCCCAAGGAATTATACAACTTTATTGGCCCAAAATGTCCACGCAACATCAGATGTATTTCGAGATGCTATAATCATTCTTGCCTACTCAAAAGTAAAAGGGAAAAATCTTGCAAAAACGCAATATAGCATCTCAATGACTAACAGGCTTGATCTAAACGTCCTTAGCTATTCCAGAAAGGTCAAGTCCAGAGTCTGGCTCATTTGCTCCAGGCGACTTTCCTCTGGGAGAAGGCTCTTCAATCGGTACCCCTCGCCTCATAGACGACCAAGATGAATCTCCATCGTACGAGGAAGGGCTGTCAAACATCCCAAAAAACCCTTTCTTCATCTCCTCAGCTGCCTCGAAGAAACGGTCTAAGTTACCAAAAACACTCCGACCGATTGCATCGATGTCGCTCTGCAGTCCTGGAAAGTCGAACACTCCATGGTCTGGAGATCCGGCGGAGAAAGACCCTCTAAGGACCTGTTCGGTCACATCATCTTCTGTATACTCTTTGTTAGATTGCACCACTTCAACAGGCCTGACAAACAGAAAGGATCCATACCCAGATCTTAGATTCCGAACAAAGCGTAACATAGCGCATTGCTGGGTAACATAAAGCTGCTCAAACAAGGAAAATGCCTCACTGTCCAGAAGATATCCTAACCAACACCAAATGCTTACTGTTGAACATCATAATGCATCTGGGAATCCTAACTCACAACCCATCAACATATGAGAAAGATACTAAGAGTCGATATTCCACAAGCCACTTAAAGCTTTCCTAGTAACTTTGCTGCAATTAATAAATAAAGCAACCGATATGGGAAGAATTATTAGGTGCTCCAAAAATATACTCCATCCCTCTCAAACTTTATGTAACTCGTACCTTTACATGACGTTCACCAATAAATGTAGAGTACAAGAACAGAGAGAATACTCCCCTCCAACACCTACTGATTTCTCAGCTAAGACGTCAGGTCGCACAACATATCTGAGACAGAACCAAGAACATTTTCTCGACAAGATACCGAGATAACCAAAGACGAAAGAAAAATTTAGACTAGGCTTTGCTTAAACTTTTAGCTAAATAGAATACAGACCCATCATTTTCTCGATTTGTCTTTCTTTTTTATTTCTTCTTTTCGGTCCATTAAAATGTATATAGGATATCTGGCAACCTAGCAAAGAAACCATAAATCCCTAGGATGGTATCTCCCAGACAACAACATGATCAGTAGACAAACACGAGATGAACCACTCAGCAGAAATATAAGCCCCTCACAACCCAAATTCAGAACAAAACAAAAGAACAACAATTTCATCACAATGGTTTCAATACAAGCCGTTCGGCAAATAGCGGGATTTATCCTGACCTTTTCAACGCCGTAAGCAAGCACGTTCGTTTGCCTTCACGAAGGCTAACAAACCCTTCCAGACATACGAAGGCTAATGCCGCGATTCATTCAGCGCTCAGGAATAAGAAAGCAAACAGACCGAAAAAGGCATCGAACGTACCGCCGATGAACTCAACCAAAACCAACAGAGCATCCGACCCCGATCAAACCCCAGGACAACAAACAACATCCCTTCCGAACCCATAAAGCCAAAACACCAAGAAGCGACAACAACATGCCGAAAACCGCAGCCGCGCGTACAGAGGAAAAGGGAAGACAAAAGGGTAACCTTCCGACGCAATCGCGGAGGATCTCCTCGGTCCGCTCGCACTTGCGGATGAATTTGCCGGGCTCGACCTCCTCCGTCCGGCAGCGAGACTTCACCACCTTCCGGGTCGAGCACCGGTCGCCCGGCCCCGGGCTTCCGCCGGAGCCGCCGTACTTGGCGATCTCGCCGGAGCTTGGCGGATCGCCGTCGTCGTCCCTCCAAACCCAACCCATGCTTCCACCTCTCTCTCTCTCTGAATGCTTCTGGCGCAATCCAGAACTTCTACAGAAGCAAGAATTCTGGCCCGACGGAGGGGGAAGGGACGGCCCAAATCAGCACCGCCTACGGAAACTCTCGACCCACCGTTCTCGTAATTTCTTGCGGACACGTCCTAAACGGTCCCTGAACTTTGACCCAATATTAAATATGGCCCATAAATTTTTAATTTATTCAATATAATCCTTGAACTTTAATCCAATATACAATGCGATCCCTGAATTTTTGAATTGTTCAATATCTCCCTGAATTTTTAGAATATATTGAACATTTTCATATAATTCGGAGACTAAATTTAATATGTACCAAAAGTTCAGAGACGATATTGAACAAATTATAAGTTCATGAATTATATTATACATTAGGCCAAAGTTAATGAACTGCTATTTGTGTCATTATCCCTAATTTCTTTTGAGCGACCTATTTATTATTTCCACTCCCAATATGGCTATAAAAATACAATCTTTTTATTAATTGAAAGGTCTAAAATGACTTCAATTAAAATTGGCAACTATGTTGGCGAGAAATGGCAAGTAATTTGGGATCTAAACACCATCTTTCTTTGAAGCCAAAAAAAAAAAATACAAAAATCAAGAAATACAAACACAACCCAACAAAAAAATCCCATGAAGATAAAATCATATTAGCAATGCACTTTGAAACCACGGTAATTTTAGGATCGCACTATTTTCACCTCTTATATGGTCTCATACACAGATCGAGTTGGCACATAAACTAAATTACGCTTAAAATGATAGATCCAAACACCCCCCCTCTCTCTCAAACCCATCTGAGTGGGGTAACACGACTTGCGAATTGTCGGTCGGTCGGTAAGCCGGTGGCCATGCGCGAACTCTTTCGACGGCGCTTGGGTATGTTATAGAAAGCGAAGGCAGAGGTGGCGGCAGTTTGAAAGGCGAAGAGAGGCGGCGGCTTCAGAGGGAAGGAATGGGAAATCGTCAAGGTTGACTTCTTTGTTGGTGAAACGGAGGTTGCCCTAGCGCTGGTGATTCTCTAAGTAGGTTTGGATTTCCAACATCTCGGGATACCGGTCGAGATAGATGACAACAGCATCTCCTCGATCGAAAGGGTACTTAAGAAGTTTTTTTTCCTTTTTTTTTTTTGTCTTAACTTAGCACGAAAAGAGTATAGGTATTCCTCTATCCTTCTTCCGAGGATTCATTGAAGGACCTGTATTTATTCCTCGTGGGGCATTGATACATCAGACAATCGCCTCTTTTTTGTCAAGATTATCTTACACAGCAAACTCGTTTAGGCTTTTTTTTAGAGTCTAGAATTGGTCCTCTGCACCCGTGACTCAAATAGATTAGCAGACTGGATTGTAAAGGCGTTAAGGTGTAAGGC